ACTTTCAATTGTGTAATATAGTAGGCCTACTGTACTGGGTGCAATAACAGGGCAACATTAAAAAAAATAAATTTTTTTGTAAAATAATCATTGGTGAGGCCAAAATCAAATTTGATATTTATTTTAAATAATCAATGTTGAGTGGCAGGTTTAATACTCAAAGTACAGTTTCCTTGATATACTTTCATTGGATAGGAAAACTCTGATTTGAGCCTGTTGTGATTCTGTTTTTACTGTAATGCTGCCCTCTATAGATTACCACGTCTCACTGATTTATGAACTCTTTGTAAAGTTTTCAAATGTTCATCATTCCAAACAACTATACCTGATCATATTAACTTTATTTACTATTCTTGTCACTTCTTTCAAAAAAATAATTTGACTCCTATACAAGTATCAGTTTAATTGTTGGGTCCAAGATAAATGAGTATTTATAATTAAATTTTTAAAAGTCTTCAATAATGGGTCATTTGGTATTGTTCTACAGACAAATACAAATGGGTTTTTGGAAAAACAAGATGTTTTTTACCTATGAAACAAAAAAAAATTATTTGCTGAATTCTAGGAACCTGTAGAAATCAGCTCCACCCCTTTTAACTTTTTAAAAATTGTTTTAGAAAATACTGTAATTTCATAATAATGAACTAATCATTCCAGTAGTGATTAATTAGCACTTATAATCGTTTTACCATTCTATATTTTATTTTACTATTTCTGTCAAAGAGAATGAATTCTAAGTATTGTATTTTTATTTTATTCTAACCTTTTTTCAAGAAAGCATACAGTACAAAAACTGAAAGGTTCACTGATTTTAAATCTCAAGAAAGTATAATACATACTCCAAGTATTTGACATGCATGTCATCGTGTTGGGATTCTAATAACAATTCTGAATCCCAACACGAGATGTGCCTTTCAATACTTGGAGTATGTATTATACTGTACTTTCCCATACAGTATAAATATATGAAAACATTGCATATTATATCACTTGTCATTAATGTGTACACTCCTGTCCTACTGCAAAATACCATAGCTCGTCTACTTGAGAAAATTTAATTGCTCCCTCTCTGATTGTAATTGCCATAGCAACACAGGCCATTGAATTTCATTAATACTAGCTATGATGCACAATGCAGGATGCATTGCATTCATCATTTGTTCGATTATTATTATTATCACTGAATAACAGTACTCTAGTCTTAGGCATTCATCATAATGTAATTCTTAGCAATATCAATAATGTGTTCTTAATAGTGTTTAGAATAAGTCCTTCGGTCCATTATGTTCTTGCATACTCAAGATTTACCATATTTCGATGTGACATACAACTGCTTTTTTTTTTCAAATGTGTTGAAAAATAAATGAAATACAATAATGAAATAATTATGAAAATGTGATTATTAATTTTGGGGAGTACGTATGATTAGAGAAGAAATTTGGTGCCTTTTGTTATGCAAATGAGCTAGATTGATATACGCCAGTACAGGACTTGTTTGCTGCGTGTAGGTTGTAATGCGCAGTCGACTTGATGGTCTGTAATGAACACAGACCAGCGACCCGCAGCAGATCTCTCGTTGAGCATGTTCTCGGATTCTTCAGATGAAGAATTAGTTGACTGGTTTTTCTCAAAGATACTTGTAAGTAGATAATTCATTTTTGCAAGCCAATGATGTTGAAATTTGTGGGTTTTTTTTCAGAATTGAAACAAGTAGTTATCGATATTAACTATTTGGCATTTTAAAAATTACCAATGTTCTCCTTGCCGCTATCCCTCCTGTACATTGCATGACATAAATTGTTATAGAAGGAAGATAACAAAATACAGCATCTTTGCATCTTTGCATTGGTCATACCAAGCCTGAAAAAAATGCCTCCTATTAGTAATTTTGCAGGGACGTAGTTATTATGGGTGGAGGTGGGCGGGGCCACCCAGCCTTGAAGTTTCCACCCAGTCTAAAGCTAACTCCTTGGCCTTCCATCCACCTTTATTAATCACTTTGCCCATCCTTAAAATCCACTTTTATTATTTAGAGTTAGGTTATCAGGTGTGATGTGTGATGTACAATTATAGTAACATACTATTTTTATCTTGTCTAATTAATATTATAATAACATGCACTGTGGCCTTAGAATGTCAGTATACCTCAACAATCAATAACTATCATCTGTACTTAAAGAAATTCTGTATGGTACTTAAGATGTGGCCAAGTGGCCTTTTTGAGCACACCTGAATCTGTTTCTACAGTACTGTACATTGAAGTGTGATCAGATGATAGAATGTAGTACCATACATTTGACTAGTATAATCCTCTATATCCTAAATTTTGAATAAATTATGTTTTCTGATAGTGTTGAGCACAAAAAAAAATTTCATTTCTAAATAAATAAAATCAAATAAAATTGGATCCTCGGTTGTCTTGCTTATAAATTCCCTGTGGCTACTATTTTGTAATTAGGCCAGAATGGATGCACGGTCTGCACTCAGTGCTAACTAGTCTTTTCTTTAATTGAGCAATTACTTTTTCGTAATTTTACAACAGACAATACTGTTATATAGTAACTGTATATCTGTATATAAAATAAAAAACAATGTTTTCCGAGAAGAAAGGTTATTCCGCTATAAAAGTATTTGATGCAGTGCCACAAAGGAGTAGGTGTGGGAGGATGCTCTATCTCTATAGAGATATAATGTACTATAAAAACACCAGAAGTTCATGAACGCCTGAAAATAAAAGGGATGATCATTTTTTATTTTATAAAGTCCGGTCGACTGCCTGTAATTCTAGCAAAAAAAATCTAGCTTTGGGAGAAAACATCATCATAATTATCATCATCAATCGTCACATCATCATTAATTATTAATAGAATTTATATAAATTTATGTCAGATGTTTTATATCATCATCGTTTTAATGGAACTTGTTCCTCTTTTGTCTGACCCCACTCCTCTCTATGTTTTGTAATCTTGATGTTTTATTGGAGGAAATAAATAGATAATTAAGACTGATTAATATCAGCTTCTCACTTAGGCCACCGATGGCCTCCTCAACTTCCATTCTGGTCTAATTTTTTGTTACATTTGCCCAGTTTGGGCCAAAATCTTTCTAAAAAAGGTCAATCTATAAAAAAAGGAGTATTAATTTCTTTATGCTGCGATTTTATTGCAGTGCTAAAGTGCTATTTTTCTGTTTTCAACAGTAAAATGTACTACAGTAGTTGGTTATAATAATGGATTGATTGATGTTGAACAGATTTGTGACAATGTTTGGAGAGGCATTATTGGGATCAGCATGTTGAACATACAGTAATCGTAATCATGTTAGCAACGTCAAGTAGATTTTGTGAAAGAATATACTGTTAGATGAAATAAGACAAATTGAGTTGATATTTTTATACAGGCTTGATATGTGGCAAAGACAAGCCAAACCAGTCACTCGTCGCAAAAATTGATTGTTAGTTATTAATACAGTATCTGGTTTGGCTTGTCTTTGATATTATAGAAATGTTCTTCAATATCTTCTCTAATATACAGTAAAATGCAAAAATGTGAAAATTTTCAAAATTCTGATTTTTGGGTATTTGTGGGAAATTAGAAATTGCGACAAAGGAAGGGTTTTGCAAGAGCCGGTCACAAATAATCTCTGAACTATAATTGTTTGCCTGAAATTCTGTTTTCCTGTCAATGATTAATTGCCTTGAAACTTTTAAAGGTAATTAGTTACATTTGACATTCATCAAGATCGAGATCAATTTGTCTAAATGAAATAATCTTTATGCTTCAGTAGAGAAACATGTAGTTACTACAGTGTTTGAATCAAATGTTTGACGAGATTTTTTTAAGTATCAAAGACAGTATATTTTTAAGATGTACACTGTCTGCCACGAGCTAAATAATATGAGAAATTCAATTCCATATTTACAGTAAGTTTCTCTCTTTTAATTGAAAATTCAGTTGTAATTTAGTTGGATTTGTAATGAATAGCACTTTATACTGAAGTGATCTCAAAGTTGCTTGAGGTGTTGACTAGTTCTTAAGGTAACTTGCTTCTCCCCTAAAGGTTTCTCCATGTCTGAGCTACCTAGTAAACCCATGGAGGTATTATTGAGAAGGAGATCACTCGAAAAAGCTACGCGCACGCAGCGCTATGCAAATGCGATGCATTTGAAGTCCCATGTGTCCCATCAAATTTTCAGCAGGCATAGTTTACCAAAAAATTGAACATGGCGAAATGGAGAGCACCTTCTTTTCTCGATGCGCACTACATACAGTCAATCACTATGGCTGCGCAATCGTTTCCATTTTGAAGCTGATACATTTATCTCTCATAAAATATCAAACATATTATTTTCCACCAAAAATTTTTGAATTTAATGGAACATTTACATGACCTTTAAAAGTATAGTATATTTCAACTTCAATTTCCATAAATTGGCCAAATTTCGCTAATTCTAATTTTAACAGATATTAATTAATAAATGATTGAGGATTATAATAAATATCAAACTAAGTCATTTTAGGGTTAACGAGGGTTAACTAATCAATCCAAAATCTGAGTATTTTTCAGTTTTACGCTGACTTAGCTTTATAGTCGAACTAATCAATCTTTAGACAAAATTATAATGAACACAGAAGTAATTTTAACATAAATATTTTATGGAATCCGTTCTTGAAATATACAAATAATAACATATCAAAAGTCCGAAAAAATCTAATCAGGGGAACACTGTTCATTATAAAGATATTTAATGGGTTAAAATCAAACGCTTTATTGCACAACTGCTCTGTTGGAAGCGTATAAATGCATGTTGTTGCCAAGTTGTTGCTAACGAAAAAAATATGTGAATTATAGGGTAATACGCCCGCGCGCGATGCAAAAGCGGGGAACACATGGGTAGATAGATAAACATAAAAATTGATATTTCCAGTGTGACCATATTCAGTCAATCAGTCAGTATATCAATCAATAAATAATCAATCAATAAATGCTGTGTCTTGTAGGTAGACAAAGACCAGGTAGTATCATCAAAACGTTCAGTGAGCAAGAAACAACTGCCCAAGATTCCTGCAGAAGAGGCCTACTCCTCTACATCAACAAGAATGAAGGAAAGACAACAATCTCTGACTGCTGCCAATGGATCCTACGGACCATACTTCCTTGAGTACTCTTTATTAGCAGAATAGTAAGTTTAATAAATGTTATAATCATAATCAAAGGTAAAGTCCATGCTGGAGTTCTGAGCTTATTGTTTAGAGTGCCATCTTCTTTTCCTTTGTGCTTGGAGCCAGTAACTTACCAATCCTCCTACAGTAGTATAATATGCTAGTACAAATACTTCTGAGTGGAGAGAGATGAATGAGGTATAATATTATTTTTTTATCCCCGACAAATGTCGCCTAACTTCGCTGATGGGAGAAGGGGGAAGACTCTCCCTGACAGGGGGCTGTGGCTCCTCCTAGCCCTAGGAGGGATGGAGAAATGGCAATAATTATGATGATGACAAAGATGCTGATGAATACACTAATATGCTATCAATTATATTTTCAGTAATCAACTTCAGAAGAACAAGTTACCTGGGGTTTATGTGATTCCGTCAGCCGGATCGCCTTTACGTAAGTTAACCCTCTAGTTTTTCAAGGGGTAAATGTATAATATGATGTGTCTGGTGACCTTTACTGGTTTGGGGGTCACCAATTGTGTTTGCTAATTACAATACAACACAAACAAATAATTAAATAAATAAACAATTTAAATTTATATTTAAAGGAACATGCACTCTATAGTGTTTTTAGCTTATGTTTGTGAAAAGAGAATGAGAATGTATGCATGGCAGTACTGGGAAAGATAAATTTAATATTTTTGAAGAGTATCATATTTGCAATTACCAATTTATGCAGAATCACATTCTATCATAGTCTACCAAACTGCACAGTGTATGTCTGTCTTTAATAGTATTTTCTTCTCTCATAGATTGGTTTGGTGTACTGTTTGTGCGGCAAGGAATGTATCAAGAAGGTGTTTTTAAGTTCGACCTTTTCATTCCTGACAATTACCCAGATGGAGAATGCCCTGTGAGTATTGCATTGTGGGAGAATAATAATAATAATAATAATTATAATACTGTATATCAATATAATGTTCATATTCTCTTTTCATCAACCTAAGAAAGTTTTTTGAATTTGGTTTTAGAAAATTTAAAAAGACATTCCAGAGATAATACCATCCTTAGATTTGGGCAGAACACAGATGTGAAATTATATAATGAGCCCTGAATACTCCATAGCTCTGTTCAATCTATGAAATTTTCTTTGACAAGAAACTGTTGTATGTATGCCCATGTATAGTCATGATGTGCCTATATTTGGTCATGATGTGATGTCATCACGACCATATTCTAGGCATGTCACATGTTTTTGTCAAATTTAATTTGATAGTCTGGATAGGGCTTTACTCTTAAAGTCCGGTACACTTTGTGTCGATGACCGTTGGCCTACCGATCAAGCTCTGCTCTCTGTGACAACTTCGCAACACAACGCCGTCAGCTAATTGTCCGTGGTAGTCAGAAGGGATTGTCGTTAAAATTGTTGTGGCGTTACACTCTCTGTGGAATCGCATCTGCTGATGGCGCAACCCATTACAGGTGCACCTTACCTGATTAGGACGTGTCACTACCACGTCTTGTTTGCCATGTACTTTCTCGTGTTTTGCATTTTAAATATGTTCATTGCTAAAATTTCGTGGGTTTTCTAGGTAGCATTAGCAGCAAAATATCTTGACAACAAATTGTATAGAATATACATTACTTGTTGGATCGGTCTTGACATAGTTTTTTTTTACATTTTCTTTGTTGATTGTTTTTTAGAGATTGGTATTCAAGACACCAATCTTCCACCCAGTGATTGACATAATGACAGGAGAGCTGGATGTGAAGAGGGCGTTTCCCAAATGGAAGCGTAGCGTCAACCACATATGGCAAATATTATTATATGCAAGAAGAATATTTTATAAAATAGACACAAAATCACCTTTGAACCCAGAAGCAGCTGCACTGTAAGTGTCTCATGGATTTGAATGATATTCTATTGTCTTATAGTTAGAAGACAATTTTAACAAAAACATACTACTCTATTGAAAAAAAACAAACATATTGTCCCTGTTGTGATTTGAACCTAGTACTCGCTTACTACAGTACTGATTGTCTACCTACTGAGCTGTTAGGCAAATGTTTTACACTTTGCGAGAGTTGGATGGTTGAGGAGTTAAGGCAGGGGTGCTGCAAAGTATCAGCAATAATTTCTGTGCTGTTTCGAACAGCACACTCGCCTATGGTTCTGATAGTGGAACAAGTCTTGTCTGATAAGGACTATAAACTGTAGGCCCAGTGTACACAGATTGGCTCATGTGCACTTTAAAGAACCCAGTACATCTTTCAAGACAAGTAAGGGGTTATTCCCGTGTACTGTTCAGCAGCAAAATATCTTGACAACAAATTGTATAGAATATACATTACTTGTTGGATCGGTCTTGACATAGTTTTTTTTTACATTTTCTTTGTTGATTGTTTTTTAGAGATTGGTATTCAAGACACCAATCTTCCACCCAGTGATTGACATAATGACAGGAGAGCTGGATGTGAAGAGGGCGTTTCCCAAATGGAAGCGTAGCGTCAACCACATATGGCAAATATTATTATATGCAAGAAGAATATTTTATAAAATAGACACAAAATCACCTTTGAACCCAGAAGCAGCTGCACTGTAAGTGTCTCATGGATTTGAATGATATTCTATTGTTTTATAGTTAGAAGACAATTTTAACAAAAATATGATATTATTGAAAAAAATACATATTGTTCCTGTTGTGATTTGAACCTAGTACTCGCCTACTACAGTTCTGATCGTCAATCAACTGAGCTGTTAGGCAAATTGTTTTACACTTTGCGAGAGTTGGATGGTTGAGCAGTTAAGACAGGGGTGCTGCAAAGTATAAGCAATAGTATCTGTGCTGTTTCGAACAGCACGCTTGCCTATGGTTCTGATAGTGGAACAAGTCTTGTCAGATAAGGACTATAAACTGTAGGCCCAGTGTACATAGTTTGGCTTATGTACACTTTAAAGAACCCAGTACATCTTCCGAGACAAGTAGGGGGTTATTCCCGTGTACTGTTCATACAGCCACTGTTGTGGACAGACAAGAGTAGCTGGTACCAGTTTAGTGGGTAGCTCAGACACAAAGAGACCCTTAAGGTAGAAGCAAGTTACTCTAAGCACTACTACACACCTTGAATGCTTAGAGACTGTTTAGGTATAATACACTATATAAATCCAATTACAGTACATTAGATTTATACACACTTACGTTTCTATTTTCTCAAGCACAATGTTTGGCAAACCTAAACTATAAAATCTCTTCCCAGGAATCCTATTAGAAAGATTATTCCGGGATCCTGACCTAGGCATTAGACGGCCCTTTGTTTGGACCCTCAGTTAGACTTGTTGGACCACCCTGTCAGCAGATTTCTGAACCCACCATTGGTCTTATAGATAAAATCAGGAAAAACCGATAAATCAGTTGAACATTCGAAAATATAAAATATGTTGTCATTTTCCAAAAAGGCACTGAACTAAATATTACTTTTATTTTGTTTGGACTTTTTTTTTTGACAAATTACATCGCCAATTTGTTAATTTTAATTTGAAAGCAAAAATGGTATTATAGGAGTGATTTTTTGCTCTGCCTGACATGTTTTCGTACTAAATACTCAGTACGTTCCTAAATACTTACTGAACAAGTTCTGCAATTGATTTGTGTGGGAATCGAACCCAAGACAGCAAGATAATTAGCCTGGTGTCATAACCATTAGACCACCGAGCTTGCACCTAATGACTAAAAACCCATATTTTTCTGATGCCAACACATCAAAATAAAAATGTTATTGTATTATTTTCCTTTAAAGGTATGACAATGATCAAGAATTGTTTAAAGGCAAAGTATCTGAATCAGTGCAGCTGTGCAAAAGCAAAATGTACGACGTCCCTGACACTGATGACCCACATGCAATACACTTTAGCCAGCTATCGGAAGATGCACACGAAAAAGCGAAACATGCTATTTGTGAGGCAAAGGTTGGTCTTTCATGAGTTTAATTGGGTAAGGGCATTCCAACTAATGCAACATTTGTTGATGTTTTCTATGCAAGATTTATGCAAATTCTCAATTCAAATCAAAATCGAATTATATTTTTATTAAAACTTGGGTAATATAGATGAGTTATTATGAGTTATTATTGCTAAACAATTTGGATTTGATAAAATTTTTGAAAATAGAGTAAGTTTTTGAATGGGTAAACTTTGTAAAGGTGAGGAATATTTCAAGTTGTGAATAAAAATATTTGTTTTAATGCAAAACAAGTTGAACTTTCTAGTTTGAATGGGGAAAACCTTTTGAGTGTAATAAATGTGGGGTAAACATTTTTGAATGTTGAGATGTTGAATGTGTAAACAGAAAATGAGGTAAACATTTTCAATGGAGTAAGTTTTTGTGAAATATTATGGTAAAAATTACTTTAACACTGTTTTTAATTGTTTGAGATTGGCCATAGTGCTATTTTAAAGTTTCTTTTTAATATCTTTTTCTTTTTCTGCTTTTTTATATACCTTTTATCATTGTGAATAGTAATCTTTAGTTTGTAATTTTGTATTGTAATTGTCATGCAATTACATCAAATGGCTGCAATTTTGAATGCATAAATGTATTGAAAGGGCAAAAATTAAATTCCTTATTCAATATAAAATGCATATCATTTATAAATCGTTACAGTTTATAAACAGATTATTGAAATATTGGATCCTAAACACCAATTGTTGACTTCTTGAGTTGTTAAAACTAATATGTGACATAAATTTCCTTGTTGTGTTTGTTTTCAGAAGCCTCCGATCGATGAGCAAGGAATGAAAAACGCTCAGAGTTCAGGATTGTCCTGGGTCAAGCCGGGAACAACTCAAGTGTTCAGCAGAGATTGTCACTGACAACCACCACATACTTATGTGCTTGTCGTCTTTGCAGAAATTAAATTTTGTAGAAGTCTACACAAGCCTGGCAATTTTTTATTTTTAAGAATGCGGAGTCTTTCCAACACATAATGTGTGCTGTTGCAAGAATTTTGAGTGGTAATGTGGAATAAATAGTTGGTAGTACTGTGGAGGTATACCATACCTCGGTATGGTAGTGGTACAGTAATATGGTTCAGGTAGTTTGTCATGAGCTTAGATCAAGCAGTGATGGGTTGTGGGTACAAAGTTCACATTTTTGTGTTTTACCTCTTTAAAGTGTTGTTCACACTTCAAGTCTTAATGCAACAAATACCCAAATTTCTGACCACACTATAAAATTTTATGTGACAAACGAATGTCCTATGCTCTTATTTGGATGTAATTTTACATCATATTGCACATATATGGGCACATCAAATAAATTGGTCACATAAATTTTGATGTGTGGACAGAGTGATTTGCCCATGTATAGGCGTAATGATATCATGCCCATAAATAGGTCTTATATGATATCATGCCCATATATGGGTGTAATATGACATCATGCCAACGAAGGGTGCTGATTGACATCATCATGCCCATAAATAGTTGTGATAATGATGACATCATTCACGTCCATATATGGGTAATGCAAAGATATCTGTTAAATAATAATAAAATTTGTGCAGACACAGTTAATGAAGGGATATAGGGAACAAACAAGAAACATTGTTTTTGTTAGCTTATTCTGTCCCTGAAATGCCAGCATATTAAATTTAAATACAAACTGCATTTGGTTGCCTACAAAAATAATTATGGTAGCACCATAGTTATTATTCCATTCCGTGCAAAATGAGTTTACTTTAGTTTGGCAGTCGATGTGTATTATGAGTATTATGTTGATATTCTTTGTTCTCCATTTCATGAAATTCGCATCAGTACTTAAGTAGGTGACGTTATTAAGCACCACTTGTTTTGTTTATTAAGATACTTTAATGGTTCTGGCTTATGTTATCGTTAGTTAATTGAGTAGTGTAGATTGCACCCATCTTTCAAATGGTACTGCACTCGGGATTTAAGCATAGTTTCATTCTGATTGATTTTTTGTAGGCCACCTCCTATTCATAGAGAAGAGCGCTTTCCTCTCAAAAGAAGCATTACTGCACATTATTTTCAGTATGGTGTTACTATTATTTAGAATAATTACATATGGCCTATATTATAATAGCCTACTTTAAATATCTCTTTTGAATGATTTTGCATTTAACTTATTGTAATGATCAGTTATTTTATACATTTATGAAGAAGTGAAAATTATTTATTTGATAGACATTTAGTTATTATTTCTTAAGAGGTTACCAATTTATATTTACTGAGGAATAATATAGTGCACTTAATCTTTTATAAATCCTTTGATTAGAATTTGTCCGATAAAGTGAGGTTTCTGATAAAAGTCTAAGTGCGTGGAGCAGGGGTGTCAAAATTTATCTGAGTGTGTGATGGATTCTGATAAAAGCCTTCAAGTGTGTGGTTCAGGGGTCACCCAGGACTTCTGAAGGATGTACAGGGGGACTAAGCCCCCAAAAACCTCTAACGGTTTAGGTATATGAAAGAATTATTTATTTGACTTTAGAATCTCAATCTTTCAAAACTACATTGAAATGTTCCTTCCTCCACAAGGTGTGTCGAGCTCCCTGACAGCGGAAGATTTGCCTGATGTGGAGGGGCGATGACCTTTCTGTCCCCTGCTTGGGGCATCCTGGATAAGTCATCACCAGGTGAATAGCAGCTGGCTTCTTTCACACATGTGCCCTTATAATATTGTACAGCTTAATCTATGATATTCACAACAAAAAATAATATTAGATCAAGGCATAACTAACTTTAACTATAATAACTATTGTCTGATTTTACACAATAGAATACAGCTGGCCTAGTTCCTTTCAACTAAATTCAATCTGTTCTTAAATCAAGTCAAAGTATTTATTCGGAGACTCAATTTTTTTTTTCTATAAAAGAAGATCTTAAAACAATCTGTTGTCTTGCCTCATTGAAGATGTATCTGCTTATTGTATTCTGTCTCTTGTTACAAAGAAATGAAAATAAACTGCTGAGGGCAGTGTTCTGTATTCATCACCCTGTTCACACTGTCAAATTTTATTTGGCAAAAACATAAAGACATGCTTTAATATAATCATGATGACATCATATCATGACCATATATAGGTACACTATGACTATATATGGACATACAACAGGTTATTTTGTCAAAGAAAATTGCATAGTTCTTAAGATTCTACCTCGCCTAAACTCTTCTTATTCGAAACCTTGTGAAAGAGCAATATTATATACCTTTGGTCTATTTGGACCAAAAGTATAATAAAATTTTACTGTTTACACTATGAACATTTATTCTTGTGCTGCCTTGTACTGTATATAAAATCATGTATGTGAATATCCATAATATATACTTGCTTATTCTGTGCACTTAAAAGTACTGTACTCTACCAATGAAATCCATTAGTGCCTTTATCCTATCTATAGTATACTATTAGAACTACTGTTATCTTGTCATGATTAGGGTAATAGGTTTCTTATATTAGTGCATCATTGAGTAAAAATTAGAATTATACTAGAATCAAATGTTTTGAACATTTAAATATTTTATTTGTTTATAAAGGCCTGTCCAGACTATCAAATTCTATTTGACAAAAAGATGTGACATGCCTTAAATATTGTCATGATGACATCACATCATGACCATATATAGGCACATCATGACTATTATGGACAGAGCTTTATACCAACATCAAAATGTTTTTAATGTTAAATATTTTTTTTATAAAGCTCCGTTTACACTATCAAATTTTGTATGACAAAAAAAATGTGATATTTCCATATTTGAGTGTAATATGACACCATCATGCCCATATATGGGGACATCACACCCATAAATGGGGACATCACACACATTTGTCACAGAAAATATGATAGTGTGGACAGAGCTTTACACTAGCATACTAATGTTTTGAATATTAAATATTTTGTTTTTAAAGCTCCGTTCACACTATGAAAATTTTGTGACAAAAAAAAATGGGATATGCCCATATTTTGGCATAATATGACATCATCATGCCTATATATGGGCATATCACACAAAATTTTCACATAAAATTTGATAGTGACATCTTAAGTCAGTACAGTATAGGAAATTAAATTATGACAAACCACTTTGTACTGTAAAATATTGACACAAGATGAAAAACATATCGCATTGAAGTCAGAATCTATGATTGATACTGTAAAACATATCAACGAATTCAAAAGTCAGGCTCTGGAGAGGGGGGAAAAATAGTTTTGATGTTGTAGAACTGATTTTTCTATGACACTGACAGAAAAAAGTTGTTTGACAAAAAACTGGGGAATGGTGAACGAGATACAGATTTTTTAATATTCAAAAACTGGGGGAAAAGGGGTGTAACAGCCCTTTTTTCCACCAGTTTTAAATGTTCAAAAAGCTGTATCTCATTCACCGTTCCCCAGTTTTTTTGTCAAATAACTTTTTTCCGTCATAGAAAAATCAGTTTTATAACGTATCAAAAAATGTTTTTCTCCGCAGTCTGACTTTAATATTCTTTTTAAATATTTAATATACTGTAATTATGCACATACGTTTTTTTTTTTAAAGATATATTATAATGATGTGCACTTTATACCTCTGCTTACTGTATCATGAATGTAAATGTACGTATTAATGTATTTGACATGTTGGATTTTAGTTAATAGCAAATAGTGTTTTGATGTCTGAAATGGTTTATTTTCATGTGGTGCAATTTGAGAAAGAAAATTATTAAAGAAAATACTGAGATATGAAATCTCTCTATTTTTGTTTCTTTTTAATTCTGTAATTACAAATGGTAGTATAGTTTTCAAATGTACCATAGATTAGGCCAAATAAAATCAATTGTTTGTTTGCCCTCCTTTTTTTTAAATGATAAAAAGGGGCAGGTGGCAAAAGTTTTTTTATTTATATACTTGGAAATACTTATCAGATGGAATAAAAATAACCCACAGAGACCTAGAATGCCAATGTCTTACATCAGACAACAACTTTGGACTAATTTGTAGGGCATCTGGCAAAAAATAAAGATAAATTCACTCATATTTTTTTTTAATTCGTAAAAAAAAACTTTTTCAGTGAGTTAGGGGGTGGGTGGAGGAGGGCAAACAAACAATTTTTTTTTTTTTTTGCCTTATATCAGTTAAATATATTTTTTTTTAAACTTCTCCATTTTGTTTATCAATATCAAACTGATTGGCTTAATGAAAGCAAAATTTATACGGTACCTTCAGGCTCTTAATTTAAGCTACTCATAGCTTTTGTTGTCACTTCATTCAGTGAAAATCAACACAAAATAGTTTTGGTCACATTGTGTCCAAGAAATCATGCGGCAAGAACTCATAATGTTCTACCATTTCATGCAGTCGAAAGCTCTCAACTGAAGGTGATGTGACGGGGAAAGCAAATTGTGTTTTGGAGATAATGGCCAAAACATACTATTTTATTGCACATCATGCTATTCTTTATTTTTGCTGTTAGAAACACACTTTGTTTACGATTTGGTGATAGTCTCTGCCGTAAATTGTAAACTTTGAAGGCTGTTTTCTCAAAAACAGCTGTATGTTTATAAACTTCATAACAAAATGCCAGCATTTAAATGATTCTTTATACCATTTCATAGCTTTATTTTACTATTTATAATTTATAATTTATAACCCTGTATTAATTAACTAAAAATAATTTTTTTTTTTTTTTTTTTTTTTTTTGTAGTTTTTTTTTTTTTTGCTTGCGAGGAGTGACTGGTTTGGTTTTTCTTTGTCACATATAGGAAATATTAATTTACGGAAATATCAGATAGAAAGAGGTGGAAGATTTTAGAGGAGGGGTATGTTTAACATTGGACTGAAGTAAAAGCAAATATGTTGTTTACTGTTTGCTTTGGAGAACACCAGATAACCTACAGTACGTTGAAAATTTAAAAAAGGCCTTATGGGTTTGTCATATTATTTTAGTGAGCTTTCGATTTGCACATTGACACACTTGAACGGATTCATTGTTTGACCGTCCGACCGTCCTCTGCACAATGTAAATTTTGGCAAATTGCGTCCTAGAATCCAGCATTCATCATGCACAAATGACGTCATTATGTACTACATCCCACCATAGTGCAATCGAAAGTTCCATTTTACCCGAAAAAACCTCTACACTCAGGTCAATACAGTGCTAAGATAGTACTCCAGAATCGGACTTTGGTATATGTTTCAGTAAATCATTAGTCAATGTGTATCTTGTCCCTTTCCATGTAAAGTGTGTTGGAGGAGCGTATTCTCCTTCCTGTCCAAATTCTAAGTGAGGGCTAAAGTCTATCGCCAAGCTCGATTTCACCAACGCCACACTGCCATATTTTTCTTTCGTTGGATAATAAACTCGCCCAGTTTTTGGTAACATGCACAATTTTTCTGGTTGAAATTCTACAGTGAGCTTTTCATGAGCATGGTTATATGAAAGCAAATCACCATCATCCGTTTTGATAATATTAGTGTAGACAATGGGTCGATCATCGCAGCGTACAAAGTTAAGTTCAGGACCGCACGGTGAAACGTAGGGGAAGTCTTCAACATAGACTCCAGTGTTATTCAGCTTTAACCGTTTAAAAAAGAATGCCAAGAACTTCTTATCTGTAGCATAAAAGAAACAAAAAAAAATGTTATTCATTATAATTACAGTATTTAAAAATTTCCATCTAAGTAGCTCTTCCTAAAAACCTAAAAGTCTGTACCGTATTTAAGTGTGGAGGAATGCGCGGACCGGTGAGCGGTCGCTCTTGTTAACATTTGAAATAACGTATATATATATATATATTATGTTAAATACGTACAACATTTATAAACTTAAAGACGAAATTTACCTTTGAAGCATGTTATAAAGTTCTTCACTTTTGCATCATCCAAGAAAAGCTAAGAAACAAAAGTAAACTAATATTATTGATTATTCTATAAACAATCAATAACTACACACTGAATAGTACGGTAAATTGTGTAAAATAAATATAAAAAATGCTGTGGCTGGTCCGGTACCGGATACGTTATTTCCAGGTGTCAACAAAGCCTGGTACCGGATCCGTTATTCTCGAACGTCAAGTTCTGGTACTAGCTAGAGCCTCAGGCTAGGCCTAACCTATATATTATATGATAAGCTCAGTCATTGACTACGTTTAGGCTAGGCATCCATAGAGACTAGATGAGACTATGCTAGCCTAGAGGAGGCCTACACTAGGCTAGCCATGTGAATGAACGACTAACCTGTCCCTGGTGATCAATATAGTAAAAATACTCTCTACTTTTGCCTAGCTCTGGTCTTGGCGACTGCCCTTGAACATATGTTATGCATCTTGAAAGACGAAAGAAACACGAGGCTCTTGTATTCCTTGCAAAAATATCTTTGATCTTATGAAATAACATTTTTGATGCAGCAACAGACACTGAATGAGCTGAGTTTGTTTACGTTTTTCGGATGACCTATGACATATTTTCAGTTAGTGTTGTTTCTAAGAGCATTTTCAATTGGTTACATAAATAATTGTTGTTCAACATTACAACAATAATTTGTTTAATAATAGATAATAAATGAAATTGATTTATGAAGAAATTGTTTGTAGAAGAAAGTATAAAGTATTATTTTGTTAGTTGAACCGTTATATCGAGGGTTTCTATGCGTATCAAATACCAATTTTCTGGGATCAGCACGATTAGCCAATCAAATCTATTTATCCAAGTATTTTGATACATCGCTAGTTGCGACAAGTTGGAGGATCGATTCCTCGATGGATAATAAAGTAAGTTTCAATTGTAAAGCACTTTTTTTAATCAAACAGGACATAGGTCACGGTATGGTATTTAATGTAGTATCCACATTTAAAGAGTCGTTAGTCAAATTCACATCCAGTGATGTGCGTATTAGGTGTTTTATTCGATTAAATGATGAAAGGCCTGGCCTGCTGCTGGGCAGGCCCACACGACGGACGACATGGTCATGGTGCCTAGTGTGGTCATTGCTTCAGTCCCGAGGAGATCGGCAGGCCTCTCTGCAAGCTCCATTGTTGGCATAGATAGGGCTGTAGATAAACATACTATTAAGGGCTACCTACCTACTAGCTACTAATAGTGGCTTAATATGTTAATTAGGTACGATTAATTAGCTAGACGAAAAAACAAATAATTTATTCTGACTAGCTAGGTCCTAGGCCTAGCCTAAGCTTAGTTAAATTGATTTTAAATTGATGTTAATTTGAATAGGGCCTAGGCCTAGGCCCCTAGGCCTAAATCAATTAAAAAAAAGGTAGGCCTAGGCTATATTTTATTTAGGCTATTTTGAATGTAATTTTTACTTTTAGTTTTTTGTTTGTCTTGGTTGAAATTTTGTAATATTTTTAATTATGCTATTTTCTTCAGTATTTTTTAATATTTTTTCTGTTGCCTAGCTAGACTAGCCTAAGCCCTACTAATAACTAGGTAGTGGCAGGCCTATGTGAATGAACTTGCTGTGATACCAACTTCCTGAAAGAAATTGCTTATCAAATATCAGTACAGAAACATACAAAATATCACTTTATTGACAGCCCACCGGCATCTAGCACTCTCAGGGAGCGGGGTTGAATTCGTCGTCCAACAGTGAGTGCCCGCCTTTTTTAGGCGGGACTCATGCATTTGGGTCTGTCTGATGCTCTCACCCTTATTGGACCAAAATCTCATGTATAAAGATAATGCCTGTATTTATTAGAAGCGGTTTGGCGCCTTTCAGCGTGAAAGGTTTGGTTTCCCAACCTTGAGGTCAGGGTTTCAATCCTTCGCTGTGCATTTCTCTTGTGTCTACTTTATCTGCATTGCTTCTCTCCATCCAGGAGTATAAATAGGTACCTGGTGGGGTTGCTTGCTCCTGTGCTGAGTGCAGCAGCAACACTTAGCATGTGGAGCCAATGACCAGGGACAGAAATGCTTCATATCTGCAAAGAAAGGCTCTATATAGATATATGAATGAATGAATATAAAATATATTTGTGACCTTTGTAGCCATCTTCTTACTAAAGATTCTCTATTTAAAATATCATGGTACTCATGTATTATACCAACCAGCTGCACTAAAGCCAGGCATTCACTGTGCTCGACGGTCGTCGGCCGATGCGATTTTATGAAGATCCATTCAGAATGCCACCGACAATCAGCACACCCATCAATTTGTCTAGTGCTCACAGGGGGCGCAGTTGGATACATCGTGCGGCAATTGTACGACCGTTGTATGATGCAGTGAGTGCCTGGCTTTAGTCACTGTCGGGTAAAAGTAAAAGGACACTTACACACTACCAGCTCATGCTACAGGGTAGTGTGAAAAGGTTTGTGTGGACGACTTGAAATCCATGTATTCTAGAGGAAAATTGCAAATCTGAATGCATTTTCGAATATTTAGGAAATGGAATTGCAATCTCTGCTAGATACTACTGTACCCAACCTGTAAGGCCTGCATAGTCTGTATTCTCTGCACCAAAATTAGGCCTAGAAGTCTCATACACATTTTGGAAAATAAGGGCCGATTTCAGCACAAGTTTTGCCGAAAATTAGGCCTTGACCATTTTATTCTTAATAAAAAAAAAGTTTATAGTGTACGATAGTTACAATTTTACGTGTATATTTTTATAGTGATTTTTTGTGCAAATTTGAGCTTGTTTTTTATGTATTATAAGTGCAATTAAAATACTTTATAGAGGGCCTATGGCTTACACTATACTGTAGGCCTACTAAACATATTTTTTAACTATTTTGAAAGTGCACTGTCAGAAGTACTGTAGGAATATATTCCCCACACATGGCCAATTAATAAATCACATGCCAGCTACTGTATTAATTGTACTACCAAATTTACTGTAGGAGAATCTTTAATACACTAATACAATTGCGACACCCAATCGCTGTAAAATCGTGTGTGAAAGCTCACCAATTATAGTAGTCGATATGTAACCGATATCGCAATTGTTGTTACCCTTTGCAATTGGGTGCTACAATCTTTATTACTCCCGATTACCACGAAATCCGATCGCAACGAATTCCACAAGCACTGTTTGGATGAGGTCAGTCAACATACTGTAGGCCTAGTTACCGGAGGCCTAGGCCCTAGAATGTAAAGTTTGTTTGTGTTGGTCTGAATGCATTCGTTGATTGCGATCGGGAGTAATCAGTTTTGTATTACCACCATTACATCGCAACCGATCGCAAACAGATTGTAGTCTGAATAGGGTATTAGCTATGCTATTAAATAGGTAATTTAATGAAAGATAAGCATTAAAATTAGCAGCAATTATCAATATCAATAATAAATGTAACTGTATTACTATTAGTATACTGTAATTTGTTTTTCATATTGACAATTTTAAAATCCAATCATGGTAAGTTTAAAAAAAATAAATTGCCCTTTTTTTTTTTTTTTCTCCTGTTACCAAAATTAATATTACATAATGGCCGCCATTTTTAAATACAATAGGCTACGACATTACAATCATGGAAATTGGCCTAGTAGTTAGTATCACAACTCGAGCAATTTGATGATCACCATTGAAACAAAAATTGAGGACTGATTTAGAACCTGCGCTCATTGCGAATGTAATACGGGTGTAACTCAAGATCAACCGAGACTTTTTTTATTAAACTTTATTCTCACTTGGCACAGGGTATAACTTAAAAATATATTACATTCTTATAGTATTCATTATGCAGAAATTGAGGAAAATTATGGAATTCTTAGAAATCTCTCAAGATGTACTTTTTAACCTTTGCCACGTCTCATTAAACTAAAGATGAACAGTACTGTATGCATAACTAAAGTTTATAATGTGTTGTTTCAGTAATTAGATGGTTGTTTGCAATGCATGCCTCATTAGTTATTGTTCATATTGCAACAGACCTTGTAGACTATTTTCAGTATGCTACAGAGAACTGTACTTCATTGTTTTTTTTTTTGTCAATTGATTGTCTAGTTTGCAGTCAGTTTTTTTTTTTTTTTTTGCCTGGAAGGCAGGTGGGGGGGAGGGGCATGATTTGCAATCGAGGAGCTGGTCCAAGGGGGCGGTCTTGTGGTTTGATGGCGTCAGGTTTGCGTTGTTTTACTACATTGGGGCTACCACTAATCTCCCCTTTCGCCACCCCTTGGTTTCACCGCTTCAGTCAATAATACCAAATAAGTTTAATAGTACAGTATATGTATAGTAGGCTACCAACAGTGTGATATAGTATGTTTATACTTCTGGCATCCCTACTTTTTTTTCTATCGTGTTTTTTAAGGGTATTATATTAATATATACTGTATTAATTAAAGTCTCTAATTAACTTTAATAACATCCTCGGTATTGTTTGCTAATTGTGACATCAGTAATCCAAGAAATGGAGTGTTGAGTGATAAATTAGAGAAAGTCAAGAGCTTGAAAGTGAGGGTGGATGATCAATTTTAAAAATGTAAAAAATGTAAAATTTTCATGTTGATGTGTAGATTAGATGATATATTGTACTAATGCTTAATCTCAAAATGAGTCTAGACAGCCATCAATAATAGGTCAGAGTTCAAAATCATAATTTAGCATGCACATGTATGCTTGCGGGACTGAATTACTGTAAATTACATGTATACAGTACAGTACAGTATTCAATTCCTTGCATTGAAAGATTTTTTTCCCTTTCTGTTATTAGGTTCCGGCTTGATGTGTTTTGTAAGAAGTGAGGAAAACATAATATAAAAAAATGACAACAAAGAAGGCATGGAAATTGCGTAAGTATATTAAATACAGTAGTTTAATAGCATTTTGCTGCATACAGATAGTACTGTTCTTACATTAAATAGTATATTTGTAATTGATTTATTTAGGACTACATAACTTATTGTATTCTGAAGTTCACTTACGTTTATTAAAAAAAAAATTGTAATTCAAAATTTGTTATTCACAGAAATGAAAAATAAAATTATAAGACAGTGTGGTTAAAAATGAGTCCAACTAACAATTTAAATTTAATTCTTTTTTATTTTTAAAATTTTATTTTTATTTTCAAGATGGCTAGTTATATGAATAAGTTTAATTACTGTATGTTCTCTAAAGAATCTCACTATATAGTTTTATATTTTTTATGCAGAACTGTAAACATAGTTTACAGGCTATGCTTACTCCGATCTAATGAGCATGTGCAAATTGCTGTAAGCATTATTGACAGGATCTGGTTACGCCGAGTCATTAGCATAATATATAGCAGGGAGGTAATAACCCATTGATCAACCTTATATTTTGGCACATGCACAAAACAAGTACATTAATTACAAAAATATGAAGGGAAAAAAAGCTACCTCGTCGTTCAATCAATCACCTATGTGAAATCAAGTACATTAATTACAAAAATATAAACAAAACAAAAAACTACCTCGTCGTTGGATCAATCACCTATGTGAAATCAACGGTGGGGACTAATCTGTTAATGATTGTAGTGATAGTACTATTCATCGATTTGGCATTTGAATCCATTTTACCCGTATTATTCTAGGCTTATTCCTGAGCTAGAGACAATGGCCATATCCAACTGGTTTGTTTCGTTTACAACCATTTTTTGTTTAAGTATTATTTTCATTCTGCTGGTCCGTAAAAAAAACCGAAAATTAACATAAGCCAGAGTGAGTGATAAAAGTTATCCACGTGACCAAAACAAACATGCCTCATTGGTCAGTTTAGCAACACAATTTGCATTTGCATTATAGGCCTATAATTTCAGAAAATAATAATTATAATATTTACCCACATAAAGTCAAAAAAATAACTGTAAGCAGAATTCAAAAACTGATTGAAAACATTTTTGTATGAAAAACCCATACGGTCACAATCCGAATCAACCTTCATTACACCAGCGTGTATCGCGGTAAGCATGCAACCATTTTGTATTTTCGAGTACCAGTTTTCCATTCATATGATCGTCTTCATTAAGAAGAATTTTTACCACTGCGCAAGCGGGTGTGATTTAACGAAGAACGAGCAATGGAATATGGCCTTTGCGATTGTGAATACAGTAGAGTGCTTTTGCTCAAAGTAAGCTTCATACTTGAAGTACGTAATTTACAGCATTAGCAGCACGCTGTAAATTAATAATACGCGCTTATGGTGATACAACAAAATTTGGGGATAAAGGCAGACTGAGTAGAAGATAGTCATTGATTTGAACAAATTGTGCACACCTTGTCGGATTGAGTGAGGTTTCCATGGATACAATCATGGACGCAGTGTGTGCCTGGAATAAGATACTCATCATTATCAATAAGGTCCGTAATTAATCCATGCTGGCATTCTTTGGACTGTTCACGATGCAGCTTTCCTCCAGTCATTTCTTTCTATTCTGTGCAGTTGTGCAGCTAATCCTTAACTTGCGAAGATCATTGGCAATAAGTTGCTCCAAAGTCTTTCTTGGCCTTCCTCTACCTACAGTATACTGTACAAATGTATTGAGTAAAGATATTCATTGTTGTGTTTTACGTTTTCAGAGGAGTTTGTAGCTCATGGCGCCAACGTCAACTGCCTGGCGCTTGGACCGAAGAGCGGGCGAGTGATGGTCACAGGAGGGGAGGACAAGAAGGTTAATATGTGGGCTGTTGGCAAGCCAAATTGCATAATGGTCAGTTGAAAATTGTATTGATTTTTTTTGCTATAGAAGTGTAGGTGTGTATGTGTGTTGTTGTTGAAGTGTTTCATTGTGTACAGTTAGCAGTTACTTGACTGTTTAAACCATAATACAAGAGTGAAATGCTGTGTTGACTCTCATAAAGTTGCTCTGTAAAGGCAGTGGCTTTGCTTATTGTAATAAAGTATTATTACAACAAATTGCTATGTGTTAATTTACTAAAGTCTACATTATTTTGCACTTCAAAATTACTTACTTGTACTGTAGCAAATCTTTAAAGTAACCTACAGGCAATAGTATTACTATAATGTATTGATTGGTTTAATATTGATTATTTTAAATAAAATTGTTTAAATTTGTATTTCCGCATTATTCAGTAGTTTATTCTTCCATTCATAATATTTCTTATACCGTAAAATCAATGTGCTTATCTCGAGAAGAAGCCCATCTCAATTTGAAGCCCCACTTTTTTTTGCAGAAATAATCTCAAAAAGAAGCCCATGGGCTTCTTTTCGAGATAGTACAGTACCTAATACATGAATTTCGAAGAAACAAAATATTACAAACACGCTGGGTTTGCTACCTTATTCACTGAAAAATACAGACTGATGTTATTGACCTTATTGTTTTAGAGTAGTAATTCCCAAAATTTTCGGCATTCATTTTGAAAAAATTCCCCCTATATACTTTGCAATTAAAGTAACCTCGAAAAGAAGGCTACTGTTATCCAAAGTTCTCAAAAAAGAAAGTACAGGGCTTCTATAGATTTACGGTATTTGTTTATGTGTATTTTGTTGTTTATTAAAAATGTATGTATTGATGTATATTTAATTAAAATCTTTAACAAGTCTAAACCAGATAATTGTCAAACACCCTTTTTTACATAATTATGTTTTTGAATACTTGTATAACCTATACTATTTTACCTGATCCTTTACTACTCATTTTTTGCGCATGCTCTTTGTACTAAAGTGCTATTTAGATTAATTAGATTTTAAATGACTTGGGTCATTAGGCCTTAACACTTTTTCTGTGGTTTAACAGGGCCTGTCAGGGCACACAACCCCAGTAGAATGTGTGCGCTTTTCTAGTAGTGAAGAGTTAGTTGTTGCTGGTTCTCAGTCTGGAGGACTGAAAATATGGGATTTGGAAGCAGCGAAAAGTAAGTGGTTTTCTGAAACTAATGATTTTTGGTGTAGTATAAAGTAGAACCCCAATTAAGGGGATACAGTATCTTTGAGACCAAAAAAACTGTCCCCTTAATAGGGATATCTCCAAAATAGGGGTTGGCCATAGTGTTGTAAAGTTTCCCTCACTTCACTGCCAATAAAGTGTCCCCTAATAGGGTGTCCCAGAGAAGGGATTCTACCGTACATAGAATAATCAGGGAGATGTTATAGATAACAACTCCCTGGAATAATTTACAGTGAGTAAACATTATTTCCTACTTAGTAATTGTTCAGCTAACAACTGTTGAGTGGTCTCATGTTTTTTTTCATGGCCTGTGAGTCTTTGTACACATGGCAGTAAAATTGCGTTCCAGATGTTGGCAATTGCCACCAACCATGAAAAAAAAGCCACCATTAATAAAAGTCAGTTGCCTGAAGAAAGCATATTATAGGCCTATTAATAAGTGTTTGCCAAAAATTTTCTGAGTTAAATTTTTATGTTGGAATTAAGGTTTAAAATACTCTACATGATATCAGGATTTTATTTATATTTCAGATTACTATACCTACTGTACATGTTGAATGATATTGATAATAATGATGATTATGTAATTTTGGGGGATTTTTTTTTAACAGTTGAGAGAGACAGTATGGTTCTCATACAGTCTCCCCATGCACAGTATAGTATGTTGCTTGATAAAATAGTAACCACTACTGTACATTAGTTCAAAATCTATAGTTATCAAGACACTGTAGAGCTTGAAAATTGCTCTTTTAAAACATAAAAATATTTAGTCTTCACTTTAGGACAAAAAATTCTT